GTGGGTGGCACTTGTCAGGGCCCCTTCTTCCATGTTTTCCTTTGGCTGGGAATTCATTGGAGTTGTGGGACATGTGACACCTCCCTATTCACAAAGGAGGGGAGCCATAGTCCGAGCTTGAGCTCTATATCTTTGGCCGGATATATCTCTTGTATCGGTGAGCTTGGAATAATTCAGTAAAATGGATTAGTTCCTATCGGACTATGTGTTAGCCTATGGCTCCAGTCAGCGGTATAAGGGTGGACGGTGATATAAGGGAGGCAGCATATTGCATTATTTTTGGGATATGTTGAAAAATAAATTGAAATTGAATTGAATGTATCAAATCTGTTATTTTCAATATATACATATATACAGACCTATAAATAGATTTTTGGTTTATCATATGTGATTTGCTTGTATAGGTTAGAATTTCAGTAGTTATTGAGACGTTTGATCTCACCCCCTATATTAACAATTTTTTCAGGCGGATCTAGTAGGAATTAAGGGAAGGCACCAATGGAGTGAGCCGTGAAGGCTTTTGTGCTCCTCAAGCACATGCTATGTTATATTTTTATTTGCCATGACTATAAGACCTTAATAGTTTATGTTGTTAAATTATGTTAGAAATGTTTTGAAATTGACTTGTTGCAGTATTAGAAATATTTATGGACTTTTCAATTAAATATATTATGTATACTGATATAATTACGTGAGGTGTTACACACCTAGGGAAATAAAACCATGAGGTCGCTACGACTATACCAAAGCAGACAATATCTATGGGTCACACCCTAGATTGGCTACGGCTACATTTCGGGACCATGAGACGTTGCATTTTGGTATTGGAACCAGGGTCAGGTCAGTGTGTTAGCAAGGACGCTGAACCCTAAGGGGGTGGATTATGAACATTGGGGTGGCTACGGTGCACTTCGGGACCTAGAGACATTACATTTTGGTATTAGAGCCAGGGTCGAATCGGTGTGCCAACAAGAACGCTGAGCCTTAAGGAGGTGGATTGTGATGTCCCATGTAGGGGTGGCTACAGCTGTATTTCAGGACCTGGGAACATTACACTTTGGTATCAGAGCCAAGGTCAGATCGCTATGCCAGCGAAGATGCTGGGCCCTAAGGGGATGGATTGTGAACTCACATCAGTAGGAGAGGTTTGGGTGACTACAGTTGCACTAAGGGGAACAAAACCATGAGATAGCTAAGACTGTACCAAAATAGACAATATTTATGGGCAACACCCTGGGGTGACTACTGCTGCACTTCGAGACCTGGGGACATTACAAGGCCCCTAATGATGCCGATGAAGCCCCTAGCAGTGATGATGCCGATGAAGCCCCTGATAGTGATGATGAAGTAGCTGATGAATCTGATGCAGCCGCATTTGCCATCTTTGATGATGATGATCTTTGACAATGTTGTCCCCTATAACATCCTGATTTTTAATCAAGAATTTAATGATAATTAAGCTTGAATGGGATATGAATTTTTATCTATTGTAATCATATGTTGAATTTATATGACTATGACGATTTGTGTTGAGATCTTGTGGGTGGTGTATAATTATTTTTTCGTGTTAAATGGTACTACTTCAATAGCTTACTCTAAGTTATTGTATATGTTACAAATTATATGCGTCTTTTGCGTGCTATTTGTAATGGCTCTATATTGTCATCTAGGGCGCTACATATTTTTCTTTGTTGTGATACTTGTTAATTATGATGATATGCTTTGTTGTCATGTTTATGCCTTTAGGATTATTGTATTATTGATGGAGTGCTAGTAAAATGGCTGGAAATTGTAGGATCTTTATGTATGTGATTTTTGTGGATCCACCTTAATACTTTGGCTTTGGTTTTGAAAACCGAATTGATTGTTTGATTTCAAGCTGTGTTGAGTTGTATACTATTAGTAGTTCAAGGTCAACAGGTAAATGACTTATGAGATGGGCTTTATGTCCCTTTTCTCTTGTGCCCTGAGCGTTGATTTGTGGTGGATACATGAAGTATTTTGAAAATAAAGAATTTAAGGCAAATCTTTCTCTAATTAAACTCAACTTGAGATTTAATTATTTATAGGCAATGAATAAATATACGAATATGGAAAGTGATTCGAGGACAAAAATAATTATTTTTTTATTATTTGACATGATTTCAAAATTATTATCAACAAGGATGTTTTATTAAATGTTATTGGCTCGAGAAAATATACATTTTGTTTAAAGTTAAATTTTCAAAATTACAGCCTAGATTTGTTCAACGGCATTGTATTTATTTTTCCCTTTTGAAGGCCTGTAAAATTTAAAGAAAAATTACAAGCATTTGTTTAAACTTAAAAATTAAGTCATTTTTAGATTGTATATAAAAATCATTTTTGATGTATATGTGTGTGTAATCAATGATGATAAAATAAATAATTTTAACTGGATTTAGATTTGTCATATCATTTCCTTATACTCAAGTTTCCTATTTTTATTTTTCCTTCGCTTGAAACTAAAGTTAAGTTTAGATTGTTCGGATCTTTATAGATAGAATTTGATTATTGGCTTTTTCTTTTTAATGAACTGAATAATATTGGATATTATGAATATCTTCCCCTTGATTTACTTGGGTTTCATTTCTTTCCCTGGTCACTCATCTCCTTTCTTCCTAGCCTGCATGAATTTTGGATTATTTAGAAATTTTCTGAAAAACAAAAACTATAATGCATTGGGTTAACATCATGAAAAATGTTTGTACGTATATTTTAGTAATTTTCAGATTTTATAATATATACAATTAACCTTTGAAAAATAAAAGTACATACAAAATATTACCGCAGAATAGGGGGCTTGTTCAAGAATGCTAATATCTTTTCAATAAACAGGAGATATATATTTTTTGGAAATCACATTACTTTATCCTGCTTTTTACAAAGAAAAATATTACAATTCAATATTATAATTTTAAGTTGAAAGGGAAAAGGACAGTATACAAAATTTTTATATATGAAAGAAAAAATTGTTCAGGTGCTGAACTTAAGATGATTGCGAATACCAATCAAGAGATACTCTCATGGGGTATTAAACTGAGAAAATCCTTTAAAAAGGTACCTTTTTTTTTCTAAAGCATATGTATCTTTTTATTAGAGACAATCATATTCAAAGTACTGTCAGACACTTAAAAAAGGACTTAAAAAATCTAAATTCTCATTTGGGTTGCTAAATTTGTCAAAACCTTATAACCTAATGAGAAATTTTAAAATTTTATAAAATGACTTTAATGTCTTTTTCATTGAAAACCTATCAAAATGAGTATTTTCTATTATTTTCGTGTCATGGAAGAGCTCTGAACAGAAAAAACTTAATATTTATCATTACAAAGTTGAAAAATTGATGATCTATTTTTCATATTAATCTTCCTTCTTTAATCCTAATAGTTTCCTTCAGATAAAAAAGTTATTAATTAATTTAGAATTCAAATGTGTTAATTGTGAAATAAAATATGTTAATTTCTAAGATTGTATTGTGATAAAATTTTATTTAAAGACTTATTACTAGTGTGTTATAGAGGTAGAAAGTTGTTAATTTAAAATTAAAACTTGTTTAGATATGAAATGGAATATGTAAATTTTCAAAGTTGTATTATAATCAAGTTTTATTTAATGACTTATTGCAAGTGTGTTATGGAGACAAAAAGATGTAAATTTAGAATTGAAATTTGTTAACTGTAAAATGGAACATATTAATTAGTTTTATTTAAAGACTTGTTGTAACTGCGTTTTGTAGACATAAGCTGTTAACTTATTAATTTTTAAGATTGTATTGTGATCAATTTTTATTCAAGGACTTACACAAGAGTGTTTTATTAGAGATTAAAAATTGTTAATTTAGAATCAAAATATATTAATCGCAAAAAAAAGCATGTTAATTTAAAATTCTCTTTCAATTTTTAATGAAGGGTTCATGAAACCTAATTAGAAGTTTAACAAATTCACTAACCTAAATAAGAATTTGACTTATTTAATTGTCAGGAATTTTGCCTATTAAATATGCGTGTTCATCAATGTGGGTATAAATGGTGCATCACGAAAGCAAAATCAAACCATCTCATCATATTTATAACCACGCAAACCCAGTGCTTTGGCCAATCGAGTCTTTGATCACTGACAAGCTTATCAAAAACATTAAACAAATAACATCATCATGTAAATACCACAAACTAGTGGCCTACTTGTTCCTTCTGTACTTGTTCTGTAAACATAGAACCAAAGATTATCATTTAACGAAAATATTCTATACAGCCAACTTTTATGAATAACTTAAATAGATTGACTTACCTGCTCGTCAAACAAGATATAATACACCAGTATCAAGCTAGCCACCACAAATGACGTAAAATGGAGTTGGAGATCACCAATAGCCATACAATTTTGGATCTATTTTTAGTTTTGACCATATCCTAATAAACTAATCATGTTTATTTATTTGAATAATGTTTTTCAAAATTGAAAACATTAATTAATCCCATCATCAAATACAGTCCCTCTCAGTCTTTCCTTAATGAGCACCATGATACTTATTATTATCGTAAAATTTACACAATTCAGATACAGTCTTAATGGTCAAGATTAAAATTTTCAAAAAATAATTTTTAAAAAAACATATAGTTAAAAGATTACATTTATTTTGAATTATCTACCTATTAAAGAAAAATATTTAAAAAAACAAAAATATAAAAAATTAAATCTTAGTCGTCCATATTAAATTTTAATGAGCATTTTCCTAATATTTAAGAACCACATCTTGTTACACTTACGCCACATATGCATATCAAGCTAGCCGCCACAAACCACGTAAAAAGGAGTTGGAGATTACCAGTAGCGCCATATAATTTTGGATCTACTTTTAGTTTTGACCATATCCTAATAACTAATCATGTTCATTTATTTGAATCATCTTTTTACAAAATTGAAAACCTTAATCCCATCATCAAATACAATCCCTCTCATTCCTTCCTTGTCACAAAACCATGGACAATCTTCCCAATGATTTGAAACTGAAAATCCTTGTTCGCTTGCCCATCAAATCTCTCATGCGCCTAAAGTGTTTGTCCAAGTCATGGCTCTCTCTCATCTCTGACCCCTACTTTGCAAAACTCCATTTTCAACAATCTTCCCAACAACACCCAAATCGAATCCTTTACACAAATGGTCCAGAAATCCTATCCATAGATTTCAACTTATCCCTCCATGACGATTCTGCTATTGTGAAACTCGACCTTCCCCTTTTCAAATCATACGCTGATCGCGATTTCATGACGGCTTCTTGCCGAGGCTTTGTGTTTCTTAAGCCTATAAATGAGCGCAAAGTTTTTCTCTTGAATCCCTCCACAAGGATCTGCAAACAAATTCCTCTACCTCCTTCAAAACACAATATCAGAACCCTATATGGCTTTTGTTATGATGAGTTGGCCGATGACTACTTAATAGTGCTCGCATCGGAATACAAGGATCCACCTTCATCTGGTATTCATCTTTTAGATTTTGAAGTCTTCTCTATTAGAACCAACTCATGGGAAGAACATGGCCAATTTAGCGTCGGTTATTGTAGTCCATCAACCGTTGGTTTCTTCTTAAACAATGCTGTTCATTGGCTTGTTCAGACTCCATCTGACATAGAAATTATAGCATTTGATATAACAACAAAGAGTTTAAGAGAGATTCCTACGCCCTTTGGACGTGATTGTGATTTCGTAGAAGTAATGTATGATCTGCGCGTACTTGAAGGATGCCTCACTGTCTTGGTGGGAATGAACGGTCACGATGAGATATGGATGATGAGAGAGTACGGGGTGAAATCATCTTGGACTAAGTTTTTCTCTTTGTCTTATAGTAAGCTTCTGGACAACATATTCCCCCTGTGCTTCACCAAAGATGGTCAACTTGTTGGAGGGGATGGCCATATAAGATTATCAAAATGGAATGAGAAGGGAGAATTGCAAGAACGTCGTCAATATTTCACCCAAGAAAAGCCAGAGCGCCGTCAATATTATTGTTGTTTTTCCAGCTCCTATTATTACTTAGCAACTCCCTACACTGAAACTTTGCTTTCTCTCCCTTGACTAGTTTGATCAGGTAGAAAGGTCATGTTGGAAAACTACTTGAAGAGATCCGACTTTAATAAGTGTTGAAACATACTTTATGTTCTAGACTTTCAGATAAAATAATCGTGTTTCTGCCCTTTGTTTTGGAGTCTATGGTAGAAAGATTACAACAACAAAAAACCAAAGATTTTGTAGGCCATTAGTGTTTGCTCTTTTAATTCGGAAAAAAAACAAAAGAAAGATTTTTTTTTTTTAAAAAAAAAAAGAACTGCAGATATATACACCTTGGATTTTTTTTTTTCCTTTTACATCCTCCTTTCTGCAGAAGATAGTGGAGAAAGTATAACCGGCCGGTGACAATCCATAACCCAAATGATGATCATTGCATGCTACCCTCGGGTCTAATTAAAAAAAAAAAAACAACTTATAGTTGCAATCTATCTCAAAGTCAGTTTACTAAATAAGTTTTTTTGAATCATTCATAATAAATAAATTAAAGAAATGAAAGTTAAAAGGAAAGCAATACATTCGCCTCCATATAGCTTTTTAAAAATCATCACAAAGACCTCTTTGTAGTTTTTAAAATTTATACTTTAATCTCATTTTATGATTTTAACATTGTTTAGAATATTTTGTGCATAATTATAAAATTCTGAATTTCTTATTAAAATTTATAATTGTGTAATCTCATGATTAAATAATACTTTTATATTCAAAGTTTATATTTTACTCCAATTTTAAAATCGTTAAGAATATCTTGTTAATAATTTAAAATACTGAATTTATTAATTAAAATTTATAATTGTGAACTCTCTTGATTAAATAATACTCTTATTTTTTAAAATTTATCACTCCTCTAGTTCTATTTATAAATAATCACTTCTAACATGTTTAATACTGATTAAGAAAAATTTTAAATTTTATTAACTCTATCCTCTCTCTCCCCCCTTCTAAATAGAACCATAGAAGTATTATTTAATCTAATTTTAAATTATTAATTAATCCTCATGATATAGAAACCACGTATTTTAATTTCTTTGCAGGGAAAATCTTGGCTGACGTGTGTTGGAGTTCTCCTGCCAAGTCATTTGGTCTTTTTTTACCGAGTCTCTATGACTGTGTCAGTCTATCTCATTTGGCAACTTTTGAGGGGGAAAGGCCGAAGGGGACTAAAGGAAGTAAGGGTACTATTTGGTGGGAGCAAATGGCAGGAAATGAAAAGCAGTTATATTATAAAATAAAAAATAAATTGCTCAAGATGCAAGGGAATCCTGTTGAGTGTTGTGAAAACATTGCAATGTGTGTCAAATAAAGTCCCACATGGGAAAGATGAGAAGAAGACTAAGTGTATAAATGAGATCAAGCATCCTTGAGGGGGTAAATGGGCCAAGAGGAAAGTGGGTCTCGCACACATAACAACGGGCCATCCGGAGGGAAACGTAGTTGAAAACTGGTGATTTCCCCCCTAAGCATGAATTTAGACATGGCAACGCTTCATTTTACGAAAATTATTTTAAACTTTTGTTAAATTTTTAATAAAAATTTTGCTTACCAGAAAGTCTTATTTTGGACTTGTTAAAAATAAAAAGGGTTACAGTCTTGTTTTTGTGGCCGACCGGACGCGTCTCATAGGGTGTGACCGAACATTGTGTGCACCAACGTTCGTGTTGTTCTGTCTCCAATAGAACCTTGCGTTGTTTCCTTTGTACCCATTCGACGAAACAAAGGGATGCATCTTCCGGTGATGTGGCCATTCGCATCTATATAAGGGATGGTTCAGAAAGCGTGAGGACAACCGGTGCTCGTCTTCTTCCTCTCCTCTGTTCCCTACATTACAAACTCTTTCACTGTTTTGCCGCCTTGCTTCGCAAGAAGGGTTCGTTTGATCCTAGGGAGTGCTGCTTCCTGTTATACCGAGGGGTTACGGAATATCTCTCAAGGACAGTGTCCTTACGACGCGACTCAAACCGGATTTTGCTGTTCCTCCTTTGCTGCTGCCAACAATCTTGAGAGATATTCTAAACTATGGCTGAAAACAACGACGCTGCCGTTGGCTCCAGTGCTGTTCCTGTCAGCGTTCCCTTGAATGTCCCGGTGGCCATACCGCTTCCTAGGCCATTCCCTAACACGTCCAAGATAGAAATGTTTGATGGAAACAACTTTAGGCGGTGGCAAGAACATGTCTACACAATTCTGGATATGCATGGAGTTGTTAATGTGCTGACTCAATCAGAACCTGCTCCAGATGCTGATCAAGGACAGAAGGATTTATAGCAACATGCTAACAAAGTATGCAGGCACACTTTGATCAATACACTGTCTAATGATTTATTTGATATCTATAGCGTCTATAAAGAGGCAAAGCAAATATGGGAGTCATTGGTTCTCAAATATACTGTCGAGGATGCTGGGAAGTAGAAATTTGTGGTCGAAAACTTCTATAGGTGGGAGATGACCGATGACAAAGACATCAAACTCCAGATCAATGAATATCACAAATTACTGGAGGAACTTCGAGCTGAAAAGATCAATCTTCCTAACGAGTTCATCGCTGGAGTCCTGATTGAAAAACTACCAACCTCATAGAACAACTACAAACAACAACTGAAGCATAAACAGAAACAATTGTCGCTTACCGGCTTGATCACTCACATCATCATTGAAGATACCAATAGAAGGACAATACAAGCAACAAAAGAGAAAGAGATGGCTGTCAAAGCAAATCTAGTGGAAACAAAACCACGCAACAAGAGGTACAACCCTAACTCAAAGAAACAGAAAAATAAGAAGCCTGATTACAAACCCAAGGGCACTAACTCCAAATTCAAGAAAAAGGGCAATTGTTTTGTTTGTGGGAAACCAGGACATCATGCAGCACAGTGCAGGAAGAGGGCTAAGGCAAGTTTTCAAAAGGATGAAAATCCTCCTAAGCCAAATGTGAATTTGGTTGAAGGAGATGATAGCGACAATGACGAAGTAATTGTTGCGATGCTTTCTCAGGCCCTCCTCATCTCTGATGTGAGAAAATGGGTGGTAGACTCTGGGGCTACCAAGCACATATGTGCAAACAAAGAAATGTATACCTCCTTCAAAGAAGGGAAAGATCAAATTTATCTTGCTGACTCTCAAACTGCAAGAGTTCAAGGAAAAGGAAAAGTGGTGCTGAAACTCACATCTGGGAAGTCTCTAGTGCTAAATGATGTTCTGTATGTGCCCGATATGAGACCAAATTTAATTTCTGTGGCTCTCTTGGGAAAGGCTAGGGTCAAAGTGTCATTTGAGTTTGATAAAATTGTGATGACAAAGAACAATGTTCTTGTGAGGAAGGGTTACTGTAATCAAGGCCTCTTTGTACTGAGTGTTGATATGAATAATAATGTATCTTCTTCTGTTTACTAGGTTGATTCTTATGATCTGTGGCATGCTAGATTAGGGCATATTAATAGAAAATATATCAAAAGGTTGCAACACCTTAAATTAATTTCTGAAACTAAAATTAATAATATTGGTAAATGCGAGGTTTGTGCAGAAACCAAAATGACTAAAAGGTCACTTTTTCCTACACAAAGAGAGACTAAGTTATTGTCATTAATACATACTGGTTTAGGTGATTTGAAACAAACAGAGACTAGAGGTGGTAAAAGATACTATATTACTTTCATTGATGATTTTTCTAGATACACAAAGGTGTACCTGTTAAGAAATAAAGATAAAGCTTTTGAAAAATTTATCTTATATAAGGCAGAGGTAGAAAATCAACTAAGTAGGAAAATTAAAAGAGTTAAATCTGATAGAGAAGGAGAATATTTATTATTAAATATTTTTGTGAAAAAGAGGGAATAATACATGAAGTAACACCTCCTTACTCACCTGAATCTAATGGAGTTGCAGAAAGGAAAAATAGAACTTTAAAAGAGATGATGAATGCTTTGCTTGTGAGTTATGGTGCACCTGATAATTTATGGGGTGAAGCTATATTATCTGCTTGCTTTTTACAAAATAGAATACCTCATAGGAAAACTAACAAAACACCTTATGAGTTGTGGAAAGGTTTTGTACCTAATTTTAAATATTTGAAAGTGTGGGGGTGCCTTGCAAAAGTTTTATTGCCTGATTTTAAGAAAAGGAAAATTGGTTCTAAAACTGTTGACTGTATGGTTATTGGTTATGCTCAACAAAGTGCTGCTTATCGTTTTTTAGTTTTGAATCAAAACACAATTATTGAAACAAAAGATGCTGAATTTTTTGAAAATATTTTTTCATTAAAAGTTGAGCATATTCCCAAAAGTGTTGAAAATCCTTCTGCTTCTTTTCAAGAAAAAACAAATCAAGTTTTGACTGAAGAATTACGGAGAAGTAAAAGACAAAGAAAGGAAACATCTTTTAGAGATGATTTTTACACTTTTTTAGTACAAAATGAACCTAGAAATTTTTATGAAGCAATTTCTTCTCCGGATGCAGAGCTTTGGAAAGAAGCAATTAAAGATTAAATAGATTCTTTAAATAAAAATAAAACTTGGGTTTTGGTAGACTTGCCTTCAGGAGCAAAACCTATAGGTTGCAAATGGGTCTTTAGGAAAAAATATTTTTCTGATGGAACCATAGATAAATACAAAGCGCGGCTTGTAGCTAAGGGTTTTACCCAAAAAGAAAATGTTGATTATTTCGATACATTCTCTCCTGTTACAAGGATATCATCTGTTAGAATCTTTATTGCTTTAGCATCAATTTATAAGCTTTTCATTCATCAAATGGATGTTAAAACAGCATTTTTAAACGATGATCTAGAAGAAGAAATTTATATGGTATAACCTGAAGGGTGTGCTGTTCCTGGGCAAGAAAATAAAGTATGTAAGTTAGTAAAATCTCTATATGGCTTAAAACAAGCACCCAAACAATGGCATGAGAAGTTAGATCAAGTTTTGATGAGTGGTGGTTTCTCTACTGTTGAAGTAGAAAGATGTGTTTATACCAAAGTTGTGAATGATGATTGTGTGATTATTTGTTTATATGTGGAT